CCTTCACGATGATACCTTGATACAGTGGGAAAAGTAATTACTATCCTCCTTTGTTCCCTTTGTTTAACTGTTTTGTTAAGATCTGAATCTAGCTACTTCTGGTGAAAATAAAATTAGATGGTACTGGAGGTACCAGAGATACCAGAAAATAATACTTGCTGTGATCAATCAGACATTTTCTCTATCGACATTTTCAAAATTTTTCAATGCTAAAAATTTAATCTTCATTCATCAGTCTTGCTTGCTTATCTTCCTTTGAGCAATGTTCGAGTTCTTCTCTAAGTACGAGAACAATCAATAATTTCGCATTCATTTATTATTTCTCAAGAATGCGAGACGATTCTCGATAAGGGTGGATCATCATTATCATAGACGCTGAAATTGAGAAACACCCTACTGAAGTATCACCAACAACGATTAATCACTGATAGAGGTTATAAAGAAAATGGTCACTACGACGATATAAAAAAATAAAAGTTCGTTCATTGATGCGGTAGGTCTGTTTCGCCGAAACAAAATACCTGATAATAAACGGACTTACGTCCGCAACAAAAAAAACTGAGTCTATATCTGGCAAAAAATCCGGAAAACGAATCTTTTTCTGGTAAAAAATAAAATGAACAAAGAAAACAAAAATGAATTTGTATCAAATAAACAAAATTGGTGTTTAACTGATGAAAAAGGAAATCTATTTAACATAACTATGCCTAATAGTCTAATCAATAGAAATATGCCTAATAGTCTAATCAACAGAAATATGCCCAATAGTCTAATCAATAGAAATATGCCCAATAGTCTAATCAATAGAAATATGCCTAATAGTCTAATCAACAGAAATATGCCCAATAGTCTAATCAATAGAAATATGCCCAATAGTCTAATCAATAGAAATATGCCCAATAGTCTAATCAACAGAAATATGCCCAATACTTTATACTTTCACTTTTTTAAATGCTTATTACATGAAATTATTAACTCTCAGATTGATAATCATCAAGTTTGTTGAAATACATCAATAAATACTATTGAACAGAAGGAAATATGGAAGAGAATCGAAATTGATTTGAACTATTTACTAATTAACATTCTATCGTAGTTTCATTAATAGTAATAAAAGTAATGAAAAGTGCAATGAAATTTAATGAAAGTAATGAAAGAGATCCAATGAAGAGAATAATGATAATAGTAATCACAGGCTGTCTAGCAATAAGTAAGTGATAATAGTGATAATCAAGACTGTGAGCAGTTGACAAAGATGCGACACTGATTATTAAAATACTTAGAATGCTTTTTTCTAATTAATTCATTATGCTTCTTGATATGCATCTTAGCATCATCTGTTTTACTTTTTTCTGATTTTAAAGTTATTTGTCATCAGAGTGTGTTTAATGATAGATCAAAAGAACGCTTAATAACAATGATAGTAAATATGTTAATAACAGTGGTGACAGTACAGATGATGAATGTGATAGTAAAGTGATCATGACAATGTGATATAAATAATGGCGATAGTGACAATAAGACCGATCTTTCTACTTGTGAAAGTTTTTGAGTGTACTGATGAAAAACCGAAAATATTTGACCCGAATCTGTACTGGTTTATGTTGTTTCTTGTTTGAAAGTATATCCTTCATCTGTTCAAACCGTTTTTCTTTTTTGTCTTTTTCTTTTCTTACTTAAAAATTTTTTTTTTTTTTTGTTTGAAAATACAAAAGAAATAGATGTTTTAAGAGGAGATTGCCGTACTGATACGAGGGCAAAAAGACGAAGAAGAGAAAATGATACTAGAGGTTAGAGGGCATGGGGGCAGGACAACCGAAATGTCAAATGTCACCGTAAAAGCAGAACAGACATACGGGATACCCCGTTTCCAAAATTATATAAAAGGCAGTTATTTTCATTGAGATAAGGGTGTAGGTGTCAACAACACCAGCAGCAGTAGTTAGGTGGAGGAACGGCAAGCAATTTTAGTTTGCAAAATTAAAATCTTACTTTATTCATCTGAAAAACAATGCTTCGTCTTACCGCTCTTTGTGCTACTCTTTTCGCGGTGTCATATGCAATTCCTGTTGATAACGGTGTCGAAGGTATTTTATTTTTCTCAAATATATGTGACAGTCTTTCATAGGATTTTTGTCATTTGTGCTGGTGACATCTGCACAGAGTTATAAAGAATTTATTCACAATTTATGAAAATTTTTAAAGGATGCTAATTTGTTTATATGACCATCAATATGTTAGCATTATAGTTTTCTTATAAAATTTTAATATTTGAGAAAAGAGCCAAATCCTTTATTCGTTATGTTTGTCCTGAAATCCATCTTTTATTCATTGTTTTTATCCTTGGAAAATTAGATTTTTTACGAAGAGAAAGGAATACTTTTTGTTCAATTTCATCCAATTACATTCATTTATAGGTGAACCGGAAATTGAATGTGGACCAACTTCGATAACTATCAATTTCAATACACGTAATGCATTCGAGGGACACGTTTACGTGAAAGGTCTTTACGATCAAGAAGGCTGCCGTAACGATGAAGGTGGACGTCAGGTGGCTGGAATTTCACTTCCTTTTGATTCCTGTAATGTTGCTCGTACGCGGTCTTTGAATCCACGAGGTATGTGATCAGTTGAATCTGTTTTGATTTGAGAAAGAAAAACACTTTCTGAACAAATTTGAATAGATTTAAACGATAAAAAAAAAAAACAGTTTGTTCAGCTTTTTCATAAATTACTACAATCTTTCTCGAAATTTTTACACGAAAATTCCTTGCAGGTATCTTTGTAACGACCACTGTTGTAATTTCCTTCCATCCACTGTTCGTCACAAAAGTTGATCGAGCATACCGAGTACAGTGCTTCTATATGGAAGCTGATAAAACGGTCAGCACCCAGATTGAGGTGTCTGAAATCACAACTGCTTTTCAAACTCAAATTGTCCCCATGCCTGTTTGTCGATACGAGGCATGTCTTTTTGAATTTGCATTTATTTCTATAATTTAAATTCAAACATGAAAGAATCTATTTATCACATAGTAAATGGTGACAAATATTTTAGATTTTGGATGGTGGACCAACCGGACAGCCAATTCAATTTGCTACCATTGGCCAACCAGTTTATCACAAATGGACCTGTGATTCCGAAACCGTTGATACCTTTTGCGCAGTTGTCCACTCCTGCTTTGTGGATGATGGCAACGGTGATACGGTGGAAATTCTGAATGCAGATGGTTGTGCTCTCGACAAATACTTGCTGAACAATTTGGAATATCCAACAGGTAAGTGAGATAATCGGTAAAGCAATCAACAATTAGCACTAATTTCTTCATTTTCCTTTAAAATATAAACGGGTGCTTAAATTAAACTTATCTTTGTCAATTAACTTAAATTGTTAGATCTTATGGCTGGTCAAGAAGCGCATGTGTACAAATACGCGGATCGATCACAACTTTTCTATCAATGCCAGATCAGTATTACCATTAAAGAACCAAACAGTGAATGTGCTCGACCACAGTGTTCAGAGCCGCAAGGATTTGGAGCTGTTAAAACGGGCGGTGCCGCAGTTAAACCTGCAGCAGCTGCTCAACTCCGCTTGCTCAAGAAGAGATCTGCGGAACCAGAGAACGTCGTCGACGTGAGGACTGATATTAGCGCCCTTGAAATCAGCGAAGATGTATGTCACCTTACTCCCTTTTTTATGATTTTTTCCCACAATTGTCTCTTTTCAAATGCTTTTTTGATTTTGTTTTTTTTTTATTATCTAATTGAAAAGGAATTTTAGAATCAAGCTCTACCAGTTGACTTACGTCATCGTGCACGTTTGCATCTCGGTGGACAACCAATGGTACTTGCCGCAGTACAAAACGGAATTTGTATGTCACCATTTGGCTTCTCAATGTTTATGGGTTTGAGCATTGCATTGATTGCTGCCGTCATTGTCACCATTTCCTTGAAATTTCGTCCAATGCAAAAAGCATGAAATTATGAAAACTGTGATAGAAGTGTGATTCAAGCAATAATAAGATGTCATATTTCTTTCTTTTCATTAATTTTTAATAATCAATTTAGTTAGCAAAGATTCGAATGTGTAAAAATTAGCCATAAGATGAATGGATGGATGAATAGTTCTTCTATTGCTTTGCTGTGACCTCCGAACCCTTTATGGCACTTTAACCTTGTCACCTTAGGCTATTAGCAGTCGTCTATTATTGTCAACTTGTCTTTACCATTTGTGAAAGTATCACAAATACTTGTACTGCCCATTTTTCACGGGCATTGCTGTTTTCTCTCTGTAACAATTATTTCATTTATTTGCATTATTGCAATTAAAAAGATTTCATTGCTATCGCTACCATTCAAAACAGATATGAAAAGTAATAAATTATTTGGGAAATACTGAATGTAACTGCCGGAAGATAATTCAGGAAAGTTATGCATCACAAGCTGAAATAGGCTCTAACCTTATCATAGATCAATCAATTCACGGTTAATTGATATTAGCATCTTTTTCAGCTAGCAATAGGAAATTTTCTCATCATCAGATCAAGTGAACTTTGTTAATTGCTCTAAAATGATAAGGGAAATTGTGATAAGTTTATTTTTAGAACTCCAACTGATAAAATGGAAATCAATGAGTTTTTCAAAAAAAAAGTTAAACATGGACGAAAGCTTTTTCAATCATTTGTTAACGCTTTTAAATTTTCCAGCAGAAATTTGACAGGAGGGAAAATTTAGTGAAATTAATTGCTTTGATAGAAAATGCCAACTCAGTTTGAAAGAGCTAAGTTTCTAGTAAATCAATTCAAAGAAATATAATAAAGTTTAATAATCTCTGAAGTTTCTTTTTCAGCACTAAAATTGTTGAAAATGCAGCAATTTGTGTTATCTTTGGTAAATAGTTAAGAAATAATAATTAAAATAATTTCACACTAAAATACTTTAAATACTTTATGCAAAAATATTCACAAAATCATTGTATCATATTAAGTTTACAAGCGAGAATGGATGTGAAGCGGTGGTTATTCACTTTATTGCTGCTAAAAATGGATTTTGGAGAATTGGATGAAATAGTAGATGATGAAAAGGTAGACTAATTTATGTTTTATTTCATTGAAATTTGAAAAATCGAATTTTCTAGTTTTAAATTTTTGAAGAGGATCATTCTACCTATAAATTCTAAATTTATAATACTTATTATACTAAAAATATAACTAAACAATTTAAAACTTAAAAAATTGACAAAACACATAAAAAAAATAAAAACAAAATAAAAAATAGTACAAACTAAATTAAAATAATTAAAGGATAGTCGATAGGATAATGACCAGTCCAAGTTAGCCAAAAAAAAACTCAAACAAAACATATAGATAAAAAATATAAAATATTGTCCATCATAGTCTGATAATTACTAAACCAAATAAAAATTAACAAAACAAAAATAGAACCAAATATCAAAATAACACCAAACAACTTATTTGGTACAGAACGCAAAATAGTAAAAGCAAACAAAGTTTTAAGTTTCAAACAAAAATCATCAAAATTACACTTTTTTGTATTTGAAGGAACTACTGGAAGATCCAACCACTAACTATTATACTCATCCAATACGCAGTAGTGTAATTTTTGTCAAGACTATATTTCGAGAAAAATGCAAAAAGTTTGAAATTCATTACTTTTATTTCATATTATTTTAGAAATGTATGTCTCAGTGATAAATATTTAATTTGATCGGTGTAGCAAACTCTTTTGCCTCATTTATCTGCTAATTATTTCTACTAATTATTTCTACTAATATCTGCTAATTACTTATTTCACTGATTGATTTAATGAACAGACTTTGGCGAATTGTCCTTTACAAAACTTTAGAACAATAGAAATTTTTTAAAATATTTCAAATATTATTAATTAAATTTGTGTTTTTTAAGATTTGGTACATAATTAATTAAATTTGTGCTATAAGTTTTAATTAAATAATTAATTAAATTTGTGCTGTAAGTTTTTTTTTTTTAAGATTTACATTTTCTACGTGGTACAGTAATGAATCAGCAACGCCATATGTCACCTATGAGACAACTGAAAGGTTCGTTTGCTTTTGGCTTAATGATTCATCGCTTTTCTAAATAAAATTTACTATTCGTCTTTGGCCAAGTCTTAATTTCAAAAAGTGAATGGAATTTTAAAGAGTTCTAATTTGCAGTTAAATTGCTAATATTAACTTTCCTAAATAAAAACTTTGAAAATGAAAAGACGAAGTAAATTTTCTGTCCTTTAAGTAATGTCACATTTTTAAATGATTCATCGCTCTTACATTTTTTAAAGTAATAACTCATCTAAAATGTTTCAATTTACAAATAAAATATTTTTTTTTGTGGGCAAAATAAATAATATTCCGGCAAATACTGAATTCCGTTTCGTTCCAAACTAAACGGAAAGATTTTCAGCGGAGCAAGATTGACATTTGGATATGATTACGATCGAATTCCGTTCACATCGTTGGATAGTGGACACAGGTAAGTGAACACAGGTAATAGTGCTGTGACAATAAGTAGATATGAGCATAAAGCAGGTAAGATGGCAGATCAGTTCTAAGTGAACACAGGTAATAGTGCTGTGACAATAAGTAGATATGAGCATAAAGCAGGTAAGATGGCAGATCAGTTCTAAGTGAACACAGGTAATAGTGCTGTGACAATAAGTAGATATGAGCATAAAGCAGGTAAGATGGCAGATCAGTTCTAAGTGAACACAGGTAATAGTGCTGTGACAATAAGTAGATATGAGCATAAAGCAGGTAAGATGGCAGATCAGTTTCACTTATTATGGAACAAAGTACGATTAATGTAATCGAATTTTTTTTTTAGCTTATGAATTCTTCTTTTTGCTCAATTTTAATTTTAATTTATCAGTAAGATGAAAGATTCCATCTCTGAAGATATCGCTGCCATGCCGTACGGTTTCTCATTCATTATTTTATACGGAAGCTGGAAAGCCAATCTCGTTTTCAATGGAAGGTTGAGAAATTATACCTTGCTTAAATTTAATCATAAATTTAAAAGATGAGTGCATAAAACAAAAATGAAAGGTATATTTATCATTTAATCTTATCAAAAGAAAGATTCAAGCATCACTAAAACTGAATTTATCACAAATTTCACTTTGAACTGTTAACAGTAAACCAAAATACTGATATTATATCACTGACCACAACAAAAAATCACGTATTCTCGACGAGATAAGTAGTACACATTGAATTGAATTCTTAGTTAAAAATTAAAATTCAAAAGCAGTAAGTGAGATTTGAACGACAAATTTATATTTAGATTTTATTTCATCAATGGACGTAATAGAATGTTGATGAATGCCAGATTCGATTCCACAAAACCGGCAGCGTATGTTTCCGGCTGTGATCCACGAAAACAACGGTATTTTTGAAATGCTTTGAAATATCAAAGTACTGAGCTGAGCACTTACTAGCATACTCCATTTTCAGAATTATTATTCGTCAAACTCCTTACGTAGATCCTTTCAATTGGGGAAGCTATCTGTGGATGTCGAATATGCGACCATTGGGATTAATCCAACCGGACAATACTGTCATTTGTTCCTTACGATACTTTCCGGCTGGTCAAGGATCGTTCGTTTTTATGTTTTATATTTAAAAAAAAAAAACGATTAGTTAGTATTTGAACTGTTCCAGAAAATCAATTATTCATTTGGAATTGTGTATTTGAATAAAACTTAACAAAGCTCTGTGCAATCAAATAAAGTTTACTATCTAAGCTTTCTACTTTCTACCACAAAATAAAATAACAAAGATGTTTTGGTCAGATTTATGCTCGGAGCATATGGTCAACGAAATCGAAGCTATCTTCATTCTCCTCGTTCATTTATGGGATTGACACTGAATCATGACAGAACTCGTTTCTTTGATATACTTTCCGAGAAGAAAAACCTCTTTCTTACCTTATTTGGAGCTTATGACAAAAACAACCGTAAATTTTTGAAAAAAAAAAATGAAACAAAAAAATTACGAATAAAATTTATGAAATGATATGTTTCAAATTTAATGAACTTTTCACTAAACTATCTGAAAGCACTGAAACACTCCTTGAAGTATATACTATTCGTTTTTTTTATCCAAATTCCGAAATAATGCACGGAAAAAAATGTCCGGTAGGTAAACATATTGTCGCTTTTAGATGTTTTACTGGAGGAGACGTATGACGAATATGACCTGAGTATTGCTATGACCTTTCATGATCCAACAATTAGATATCGAGTGACCGGAAGCATCGATACCGTGAGTTGTGCTCCTTCAGTTTTTCAGGAATGCTAGTTACTGTTTGGTGTGAACTGCAACTATCATTCCTTAAAGTTCATTAGAAAAGTTAAACCACTTTCAATTCTCTATGGATGAGTTTAAATTGGATGGTAAGAATATCCGATTTGAGTACAATTCCAAAAATATTTGCTAGCATAACTATTTCTTATTGTCATTTCAAATTTACTTATTCAAAAAAAGATTCCAGAAGTTGAAATGAAGTCTAATCTAGCAATTATGTACTAATTTCTAAAAATAAACACTCATTTTAGGATACTTCATTTAGACTTATAAAAGTGAATGTGGTAGCACACCTGATGGTCTTCCGGATCCGTGCAAACCTGATCCTCATGATTTTTATTTCAGCTGCTTGCATGTTGGATATTATTTAAGTGAGTGATATTTCATTTTAATTTTTCAAATTAGAATAAATTATTGCTAAACAGATTCTCATCTGATCTGATTGCTGCAGTAAGTTGACATGAATTGACACCTTGCTTCTTAATTAGGCAAATTTCAGCTGAAGAACGGGAGACAATTCCTAATCGGACCGCCAGTCGTTGTACCTTAGCTGGTCCAAGTCCCTACAGAAGCATACTTGATCGAAGTCAACAGTTGAGATATACATATGCATACTGGGGTTTTTCATACTTTTAATTAAATTGCCACTTATTAATTTTCTCTATAAATTCGTTTCCAAAAATCTGCCCACTTTTTTTTTTTTTAAATTAATTGTCAATTTTCAGAAGATCTATCACTTATGCGTATGCAAGATGAGGGAAATATCACTTTGGTTATCGATGGAGTGCAAATGATACCTCCACCGGAACCGGAAATTTGCCACACAAGCACTTCTGATTTTGATTGGTTCTGAAATTACTCTCTTTTTTGTTATCATTTCGTTTCTTTTTCATTATCAGTTATGTTCTCTGCTCTCCATCCTTCTGAATTTATCATTTTTGTTATTGTTTACGAAAAGATTTGCTAATAAAGTAATGCAATAAGTCGAAGAGAGTGGCTTAACTAAGATGAGCACTTCAACTTCAAATATTTTAACTCTCAGCAAATTATCACTGATCAAATCGCTTTGAGAATGTCAGCAAAGAGTAGAAAAAGAAATAGGAATTTGCATCTTTTCGAGAATTTCAAATGTTTATGATTGTGCTTTAGTATCTTATCAATGCTTTCATATCGTGAACATATATTATCCCAATTAATCTTTATCACAAAATCACTTATCAACAGATTTATCTTCTGATAAAAGACTTACACAATGACGGAGGCATTTTCGTCTTTTTGCTTTCTTAGTTTAAATGTGTAGCAGGAACTTTGGTTTGCTGATCAAAATCTTTTTCACTTTAAAGCGAATTCGTCTACTCAGAACCGGTGCAGCCGGTTTTGTATCCGGCATGGCTAAATCATTTAAATTAATAGCTTAGTGTGAAGCTTGTTTAAGTTGCAGAAATCTCTTGCTTAAGTTTCTTGCAACTCTGAGAGTTTAAATTTATATTTTTGCTAAATTTATTGTATTATCAAACTTTTTCCATGACGTTATCACAAATTTTTTGCATAATAATAAAAGTTTTCTTATAAAAGATATTTCTGTTCGAGCATTTTTCATTTTGAAAACATTTGAAAGTGATATTAAGTACTTTCAAGGTGTTCAAAGGAAATCTTCGTTTAATTTGCAGGTGCTACATTAGCATCATTTTGTCGAGAGTTGTCAAAGCTATCACAGCTTGAAATATTAAACATAGCTAAAGCATTTCATCTTTTTTTTTTTTGAAACTTCCCAGTAATAAGATCAATTGATAGTGATATATTCCTTATCAATGCATACAATATAAGCAGTGATTAGCTGATAATAAGCAATTGAATAATTCAATACAAAAAGTCGATAAGGCGATTAATTAAAAAGTAATTCATTTTGCAGTAGGACAGAAGAGATGGAGTCACATCAATTGCCAAATATCATTTCCATAACTGGCCTAGCAGTTACAACAACCTTATCAATTCTGGCATCATTAATCATTGCCACAACACCTGTATTACTGATTCACCTGTTGAGTAGACAACCAATTTCAAAGACACCTAGTGAATTTAAACTTAAATAATTTTGGCAGTGAAAATATCATCTTAACTAGCCAGGACATTATTGATTCATGTTTAGATTTTAAAAGTAGGTCAATTGGGATGGATTTATCAAAAGTTGGAGGAACTTTTCAAAATACTATTTTTTACATTTTCAAGCAATTAATTTTAATGAATCATTGGTACAGCTAAAAAGGATATCCAACGAATCAATAAATTAGAATTGGCATTGGAAGTTACAAAAGAAGAGATGGCTGAGAAACATAAAAGTTTTTTTTCTAGTAAGGAAGTTTCTTTGTTGTACCCGAATCTCTCAATCATATCTACGATTAAATCGATAATTTTATTGGTGACGGGCAAATTACACAAAGTTATATTTCAATCAAAACATTGATAACATTTAATGAATTTCTTTCAATTATAGAAGGTCGACTGCAACTTCAGCGCATTATCAGAACAATTCAAATGGAATATATCAATTTGAATTATGCAATATAAAGAAGCGTTATTACTTATTAGAGTTAATTATGAATTACAATTGAATTGAGAAGAAAATTTGTGACGAGAAAAAATTTCTAAAAAGAAAATAGTTTAATTAGAAAATAATTAGAGGAGTAAATAATTATTAAAACAATTATTGTATGACTCATCGGGACTTATTGCAGGAACAATTGTTTCTGATGCTATTACCTATGCTTTTTCTCGAAGCCATACTGTCCTTCTTGCGGTTTCTGCTCCGTAATTTCACTTTGATAGTTGCTGACAGGAGCGCTTGGATTTTTCACTTCCGGTGCGTTACTTGGAGCGACAGCCATTTTTATCACACGGCGTTTGAAGACTTCATTACTTTGTTGCTTACCTGCAAGAAATTTATCGCTCCGGAAAATCAATCAAATTAGACTGTCTGCCAGTTGCGCTTTTGCTAATTGTTTGGCGGAATGCTTGAAATGCTTCCTATTCTCAACGAATTCATCTTTTTTGCAAAGACTTAAGTCTTCATGAACATAAGAAAGTTTTGCATAGAATTTGAGATGACTAACCTCCATAATTCGTTCCTATTCTCGTCGTCGACGAAATGTCATTTTTGTCCCCTGCTGGTGCGATGATTGTATCTACTGATGAAGTTATTATGGCTGATGCAGGAACATCTGTTAGTGTTGATCCGGCCGATGATACTTGAAATCCGGTGCTATGTACCATTTTCTGCATTATAATAATTAATTACGGTTGGAGATTATTTTACTAATTGTTGAAATCAATAAAGTCAATTAATATGAAAAATGTATAAATTAATGAAAAAGTCAAACCGAATTTGGTTGTTCAGCCATAGTTGTACCAACTAATTCAATAGTATCAGTAACTTGTAGTGGTGTCATGGTGTGGTTTAAGTGTTGCATCACAGGGACCTAAAAATTTGGGTTTTTAGTTGAGAAGTAATTAACCTAAATGGTAGCTTAATTGAATTTAAGGTTATTAATAATATTTGATTGAAATTAGGATGTAAAAATTGAAAATAAATAGTTAGTAATGGTATGTAAACCTACCTGGCGCTCTTCAGTGATGTTTCGGGATCGAGAAACATCGGTGAAACAGAAATGCAGCAGTTGCGCAGTTGTCAGCAATTGAATTAACATAGATTTTAGCCTACTGAAATTTCTTTGTTGATTGTTTTGATGGATTTTTAAGGAAGTATTCAAGCATATATTTGCAGTATACTCTCTAAGGTACACTCATTGGTGTGCAAATTCTCTGAATTATTTTGATAAATTTAAAAGTAAACTGTAATAACTCTTAAGGCTGATTATATTCATAATAATTAATTAAGCAGCGGAATGGTTGCGGAGCGGTATAAAACATCATATAATGTTCAGAAAACCATTGCAAACAACCTTAAAAAATTGCAAACAGAAACTGGAAATTCTTAAAAGTGAAAAATATGACAAATTAATTTAGCTAAGACCTAAATTTTTAATATTTGAAAAGAATCCATAGTCGTTGTGAGCAACTTTAGCTTGTAATAAGAAAGCATTGGCTGTACAACGTCTATTTATATTCTCCGCAAAATAGCTGTGCTTATTGCTTCATGAAATTTACAAATGAAACCTATCAGAATCCGGTTTTCATCCAGCAATGGAAAATGAAAATTTTGGATGTTGCCATCAACATATTGCCAAAATGACAGAATATTTTTAAACTAAACTTTATTACCATTCATTTCACTTAAAATAAAACTAATATCATTTCTCTATGCATTCTTTTTTATCAGATGGAATAAGCGTAGAGATAATTACCCAGCAGAAGTTATCAAAATTATCAAACAAATTACCAACAAGATGTATTGAAGACAGAAAATCCTCCTGTTAGTGGTTGAATTATTCCGGTTTATTACGGTTTAGTTATAGTATAGTAATATTAAGCAGTAAAAACGGAAGTTTAATTACCGGTACTTAGATAAAAACGAGACATATGCATTTTACTTAGCCATCAAAATTTAAGGCACTTAATGAGTAAAACAATTGATAGTTTAAGTTTTGACAAGTATTATCAGTTCATTGCTTTCTTAATTTCCTCTTTCGGAAAAGTTGTAAAAATACAAAAGATAGAAATTTAAAGCAAAGTACCCTATTTACTGTTAGATAAAAGCAGCAGTTCAAGAATTAATGAAAACAAGAATTTTTTCGAAATTTTATTCAATATCCGGTTTTGAGATGCTGTAAAACGAAAGTAAATTAAAATAATCCATTACCTTTTTTTATCAATATCTTTTCGTTCTATTCTTTGTTAAATTACTCTTTTTGTTTTAGTGTAAAACTAGCTGTAAAGACTGGAACGGATTACGTTGCGTGACGCATCGCTGCGTAACAGTGATTTATGTTTTTGTTCTGAGTTGAAATTCGTTTCTTTTGTTAGAATGAAATAAATGGCAATTAAATGAGGGAAGAGAACTTCTCAACCTCGTCTCTTTACTAATTTCCAGTTTTTTTGATAGTTGCATGAGATAAGAAATGAAATGACTATTTATCATTACAACTGGAATTGTATGCCTCAGGCCAACTCATTTTCTTGAAATATATGAAATTTACTTGGAAACGGATTTCTTATTAGTACCTAAAGTCTTTTTTGCATTTTAAAATGACTTATCAACCTTAATCAGTGCACATATATTATGAAATGACTCATCTTTGTGAAATGATATTTGGTCTTTGAGGATTATTATTAATTTTAAAAACAAATTTTTTTTATTTTTTTAAATTATATTCTGAGATTTTAAGAATTACTAAAGCTAATGGAAATAATATTACTGCTCGAGAGTGATGCTATTAATAGTTATGGTTCTGTAGCTGCTGCTGTTGTTGTTATTGTTATTGTTGTTGTTGTTGTTGTTATTGTTGTTGTTACTGTTGTTATTGTTGTTGTTACTGTTGTTATTGTTGTTGTTACTGTTGTTATTGTTGTTGTTGTTGTTGATTTGATGTGGGTTGCAAAAATATCAACTCTTTTGTTTCACTTTTCATTATTTAGCACAGTTCGTAAACCTGTTTTTCGGAGAAAATGTCGAATGAAACATCATCCACGGACTTGTTAACTCTTCCTGTTATCTCTAATTTCCCTAATAAACTGATAAGAGTCTTTATAGGAAGGTCATTCTAAACTTTGCGTCCATTTCCTATCAAACCATAATAAACTGTTAATTTGACAGCAAAAACCTCTATAAACTTTATTCCTCTTTTAATTACTATTGTTCGAAATGCCGTGAGCAATTTTTCGATCCTTTATCATATG